GGGGAAATGGTGACTTGTGGTCTCCCAGATCGTGACCTGTCATTGTCTGGCTATACGGTTCAGGTTGGAAATTGCTGGCTGTGAACAGCCCAAATGGTGGGGAACAGTGTGTTGACAGAGTCTAACCTCCAGCATACCAATGCTACAATGTTAACTTGACAAGCAGAACATTTTAGTTTATTTCTTTATTTTGCTTTCTTAATGTTACGAAGCCTGACAGTCAAGAAGTTAAACACACAATGAGGTAGCTAATTGCAGAGCAATAGTCAAATCCACTCAAATATATCTCAACCAATCATGAATGATCTGTTAACCAAAATAATGCTAAAAAATCTGTATGCTTTATTTTATACAAACCTATATAGAAATTGCATTGAGTTTCTTTTGATTGTTTTCCAGTAGATAAAAACTGATTTTAAAAAATTGATTTTGAGCTGATCTTTTTTGAACTTGTGTGCCTGTAAAATTCAGTTTTGTTACACTTGTGAACTGAAAAACATACAATTATAATTTTATCTGTTTTATGAGCTATGCACCATCATCAAACATAATATTACTAAATCACTAATACTCAAAATTACTCAAAAACATTGATAAAACCATCCTGCAGTAATTTGCATTTATTTTCTGATTGATTAAACCACAGAATAAGTGCAAACACATTTACAACAAACTACTGAATAATGTTGGTTACAGAAGTTGTATCCTTATAAATAGCAATGTTCTTGATGGTTGATGCTTGTTGCAATTTGTAAACGGGTATTCAGAATCTAGTGCTTTATAAAATGTACTTTTGTGTACACGTTGCAGTGTTTTCCTTTTGTTTTTTTCTGTAAGAACTACGTAGTGCTGTCTCTTTTTCATTATTAAATCAACAGATAGCAGTTGGCCACTAACTTAATAGTCTCCCCTGAAAATACAGTTTCTTAAGTACATTATTTCAGCACGTAGTTCTGATTACTAACGAGGACCATAATGTACCTAAAGACAGACAGCAGTCTAAAACATGCAAGTAAATGTGTAACATTCTGGCTTGTCATTGGCTGAATTTTAAATAGAATCTCTCTCTAAAGCTAGAGATTACATCATCACTAGCAGCACTGTGTGCAGATGACAGCTTTGAAAATGAATTGCTGAGTTACTGTGTGAATAAATACCTCATCAATTTTATAGCACCCAGTCTTGAGCAAGATTGGAGACTCTGACTTTCAGAGTACCACAGTGGTGAACAGTCTAACTACAGATTTGTCATTTCACTTACAGTGCCATGCTTTGGTCAACTGGCTTTTATAAATTCAAGAGGCAGCAATGTTCATTATGCAAAGAAAAAAATAACAGATTAATTTCTTTGAGTGGATCGTGGGAAAGTCGATTTGAGGAGCTGAAATTAATATGAGTAAATTAAAAAAGTGCAATATACAATACAACCTGTATAATTAGTAAGATTATCAAAATATTCTAAAACTCTTAGAAGTATGCATATTTTCATCCCTAATAATGAATTATACAGCACTAACCAATTAGCCTATTTGAAGTAAGTTTAATAAGGTGTGATGTATTTGTAGCTCACAACTGCAATTTGCACTCCCCCTTACCTCCTGGTTGTGAAAAATCTGTCTGCACATTAATGGTAAGGAGCGTACGCTTGTGAGTTTATGCCAGCAAAGGTGATGTATGTATGCATAATATGCACACAGGTTTGCTAATAGTAATCGCAATGTAGTGATACCATGGTCCACAGCCCACTGTATTAACTGTGATTAGTATTTGTAAACCCTGTCTTATCATAAGTGCATTCATCACCATCCATCAACCATTTCAAGACATCAGCATAATACAAACTAACGTGAAGCTCCCCATAGTTCGTTGGGTGGAGCAGGTTAATGAGGGAGCAAACACAAAAGGAACTTCAAGCTCTTTGACAATGGTAACATACTGTAATTGTGTGTTTGGTTCTTTAAGGCCCATTTTCTGTGATGGCTGTTATGGCAACTGGACCATTAATGTACTTGCATTAATTGTCTAATTGTACCTGTCCTCCCACAGTGTGTTAGAAGACTTCCTGCATGAATCAGAAATCACCAGTGTGCATGGGCCCACAGTCTCGCTGCATCTTAACCGGTTAAGATCACCCTGCAACTCACAACTGGTAACCCACTGAAGCTAAGCATGTGTGAGCCTGGTCAGTACCTGGATGGGAGACCTCCTGGGAAAATCTAGGGTTGCTGCTGGAAGTGGTGTTAGTGGGGCCAGCAGGGGGCGCTCATACTGTGGTCCATGTGGGTCCTAATGCCCCAGTATAGTGACAGGGACACTATACTGTAAACAGGCGTCGTCCTTCGAATGAGACGTAAAACCGAGGTCCTGACTCTCTGTGGTCATTTAAAATACCAGGGCGTTTCTCGAAAAGAGTAGGGGTCCTGGCCAAATTTCCCATGCCTCCTAATAATCCCCCTCTATGAATTGGCTTCATTGCTCTCCTCCTCACTGATAGCTGATGTGTGGTGAGTGTTCTGGTGCACTATGGCTGCCGTCGCATCATCCAGGTGGATGCTGCACATTGGTGGTGGTGAAGGTGAATAGCTAAAACATAATAAGTAGATGCTTATTTTGACTCTGAATGTTGCAGCTCTATAGTATTCCATTGCATAATTTACAAAAAAAGTTATCCACAATTCTTGTGGTTTAGTGCGCATGTCTTTACTCCTGTGATATTTTATTGACTTATGATATGGCTTGTCTTGGCTTGCCACAGAGCTTCACTTGCTTTCAGAGAAAAAAGAATAAACAGGCTTCTTCAAATCCTGAATAAAAGGCTTGGTAGGCAAGTCGCGAGGTCAGATTCACTAAGAAGAGAAGAAAATAAATCCCCTGAATAAGTATCTTAAGGTTCATAAGAGTAAATAAGTGGCATTGATAAGATAACATAATGCAGTGGTTCTCAATTGGTGTGCTTTTAGACATTCATGGGTATGCAATAGAATTTTGTAAGAGAAAAATAAAAGATGAATAAATTAGTTTATATTTGCCATATATCAGTTTTGTGGAGTTCCCAGGTGTTATGTTACACATTCAGCATGTACACTAGACATCTGACAGGCATTGCTCTGTAGATGGTTCGTGTGGGAATTGCATGTGGTGCCAAATACTTTTTTCAAGTTTGATGCAAACACAGAGTGTTCGACAGCAGTTGAGAGAGAGCTCCTAGTTTTATACTGTCAACAATTCCTCAAGAGTAAGTCACAAACTCAGAATAACCATTGAAATAAGTTTTGTTTATAATATTAGTCTTGTGCTTGGGGTGGTGACGTGTATGGGGAGGCAGTGGTCTGCCGCGATTTTTCAATATTTATGTAAGTCTGCTGTGGATAAGGATGAAAAACACTGACCAAGAGGCATTATCTAGTGTAGAATTTAAAGTGCCAGACATTATTTTCTACTGTTTGTGAGCTCCTCCTGTTTACTATTATACAAACTTTGTAATTAATAGTTTGTCAGTATGATGTTCGATTCTCTAGCAGTTTTTCTTTAATTATACTTAAAGGCTTCCCTCATTATAGAATTTGTCCTTGTTCAGAGTTTTAGGTTTAAGGATTTTTGTTTTTCACAATATGATATGGTGAAGAACAACGGGCCTGTAGATGGATAGAAATTGGAATATGCATTAAATGACATGTTGTTTATACAAACAAGAAAAGATCAAATCTGTGACACTGTGAATGAATAATGGTTTGGACAGCTTGTGGTTGTTAAAATTGCATTTAGAGAGCTAAAGATATGCCTTTGAGGGCTGTACCTCTTTTATTAAGATTTCATTGAATTTATTAAGATACATTTTTAAAAATATTTTGGATTAGATGAAAATGCAAACATTCAAATAGAAATGTTTTTGTCTCCATTCCAGGCTGATGGAAGGCAGTTTTAGTTTTGTGTCTATTTCCAGCTACACACAGCAAGTCCGTACTTGGCAGCCTAACAGTAACATAAGATTCTACCAGAAGTGCCAGTATCAAAAATAAATTTTTGGATATTTCATCGACTCAAGCAGGTCTTTGTGCAAGATATGTGCAATTTTCCTCAGATCTGTATCTATTATGTGGTTATATAATATGATAACAAGGATGTACAATGAATGTTTTCTGACACTGAAAGATTCCAAATTGCAGTATAAGATGAAAGAATACTAAAAAGAGGGGAATAAACTCACATCAGGACATTACAAAATGGACATTCCATTTTGTATGGACAAAATGCTTTAAAACATGAACTGTAGGTTAATCAATTTAACACCTATGAAGTGAAACTCAAATAATAAACAACTTATAGAGCTTTTTTTAGATCCAAATGTCCTTGAATAGCATTACTATATAAGAAACCATGAGGCCAGACTGTTTTAGTTGTTTTAAATTGGTAGCCCTTTTACATTGACGTTTTCAGTGATGCCTAGAGCTGGTGCCAGATAAAATAATCGCTTTCCTTTCTCAGTTTAGAATAGTAAGGAAAGAAATCCTTAACAGGCCTTTTGATTCCAAAGAATAATGACATCAGCGAGTTGTTACTGTTCATTTGCTTCATCTGCTCTGTAATGTTGCCAAGTGTACAGTACGTAAGCTCACTTTGTTCAATAAAAGGAGGTTTTTGCATGGACATTTGCAAATGATAATATACTTTTAGGCTAGTCTTGTCATGTCTTATGTGATTATTTTGGAAAATTTGTGTTTGAACTCAGCTACTAAGGGTAATTCATTATTTTGCAAAGATGTTAAAGTAGCTATTTACAAGCTATGTCAATTTTGGTAACAGACTGCACACCCATTTTCTCAAATGCATGTTTTAACCCAGGTGTCTCATAGTAAAGTGAGGTGAATCTAATATTCTGTTATTTTAGTCTGTGTAACACTTTCCTTACTGAAAAGCATAAAAATCTTTAAATGGATCATGAATTTCCCAAGTGTTTTTCTGTGCAATAGTATATTGAAATCGACTTCTTTGTTTTCCAGGGCAATCCAACAAAATTGCAAAGGATGCAGCCAACCGGTGGACAGGTGGGTTCGGCAGCAAAATGTGTGCAATTATGAACTGTCTAGAGATTGTGCAGGATCTAGTAGAGAAAGGTCTTCTTTTAATGGTTGTTGTAGACTTTGTTGAGATTTGGCATCTGTTTTGCCATTCATGTTTCAGTATCATCATAAGAGATGTTAAAAGAGTTACAGTGTATAGAGTGCTGTGCAAAAGTCTGAGACAAAACACAGTTGCAATACATGTGTATTAAGAGCCTTAACACTTTACTTGGAACTGCTTCTAGTTTTGTTTACTGTTATAACATATTTGACACTTAAAATAGAGCCTAGTTTAGGTGAAAAAATACTAAGCTTGTCATTAACATTTCCTTAAGTTGCAGTCGTCAATCACATCTAATTTATTGTAAGCTGTTCTTCATTGTTAAAAACTCTGCTCCACACAATCATAAATCTAAAAGGCTGTCAGTATTAACTATTAACTTAAAGCAAACTTACTGAAATCAGTATAAGATCGCTACAAGATTGATTCTGTGTGAAGAAGTAAAAGCAGGAAATGAAAACAGTAGAACAGTGTGAAATGTCTAGGACATACTAAAAATATACTATTTTTTAATAGACAGATACAGTATAATGGGAATAAAGGCACAGAATTATGACATTTAAAAGAGCTTTTTTTTCAGATCAATAAGTTAATTCAACAAAATAAGATATGATAGGTCATTATTTTTTATTTTTACCAGAGTTTATAAAAGTTTATTTAACTTTTTTTAAGTTAATTAAGTGAAGTTGGAAGATTTATGTTTGTACAGTAAAGACTACAACTTAAAAACCTGGTCACTTGTTATTTAATCTATACTGTCAAAAATAAGTGTGAAAATCTATTATTGCCATGAACAGGGTAACTTAGACAGCAAAATTTAATTCCAGTATAATACCAGAGCAAGGTGTTTCTTATATTCATAGAGTAACTTTAGTCTACTTAGGCATTTAAAACACAGTTGCAAATTTTAGCTTTAAGATGTGACCACCCCCTCATGCCACGAGTCCTTGTAGCAATGACAACACGTACTAGAGCCAGCTTTAAAATATTGTAAGATCCAGCTTCTCTGTTATTGTAGTAGAAATGCAAAGACACTACAATGTCACAATACACATAGAAACATGTAGTATAAATCACGACTCTCCACCCTACATTAATCACTGTGCCAGTGTTCTCGTCTTATCTATAGGTATCAGGTTACACTGGCAACGAGGGAGGAGCACCCACTGCACTGACAAATACCATTACTGTATACTTGGATGTTTAAAATGGGATTTAAACCACTTAGTAAACACTGATGTTAAACTTCTTTATACCTTTCTCAAATCAAGAGCAAAACATTTCACCTATTATCTTCAAGTCAATGCAAGTTCAAAGCCTGGTGAGATATTTACACTGTATATGTAGCTATTTAATAAAGTTCTTAGGAGTTTCTGTATGTACAATTGGTGTGTGTGAACATGTTGCCGTGAATGAGCCCAATTGGCAGTGGCCTTCATTCAGTAATCCCATAAGTTCATGTGCCAGTGTTCTCATCTTATCTATTGGCATCAGGTTCTGTTTCTATTTCAGGTTGTATTTCTCTAGCAGCTCTAAGTGATGTATTGAAAATGTTAAAAAGTGTCTTAAGTCTTTTCTCAATTTTCAAATGGCTGGTGAATGACTTATAGTTTGGCCCTGCCTGTTTAGTGTTGCAGGATTTGACTTTAAATCAACCAAAAGAGGGAACACTGCTAAAGAAATCTGGGCTACATCCTAGATACAAGTGATTACAAATTTGCATGCACTACATGAACTAAAACAAGTTCATGTATGTATTTCTTTTAATGTCTTCTTCTTTTCAAAGAAGCAGTTACACAGCTTAAGTATACATATATACATGTTCACATTTAAGCACTAAACGGTCTATCTCCAGATTATTTTAAGGATGTATTGCATGAGTATAGCTCAGTTCTTAACTTCAGATCTGGTGATTCTGGCATTATTTCTCAGCTGAATATCATGCTCTCTACAGTGGACAATAGAGCCTTATATGTGGACAGCATCACGCCTGCAGTTTTCATTGCCCAAATCCTTTAGAGACTCAGTGACTGATGTGTTCAAACCTCACTTAAAGGACTTTTCACTAAAGCTTCTGAAGTGTAATTTAGTTTTACTGTAAACTAGATCAATAAATGAAAAGTAAATTGCTGTATTTTTCTTTCACTTCCTTTTAGTTATTTTTGTGTGTACCGTTGATTAAGTAGGTAATTGATTTAAGGATATCATTTAGCTGTTGAGTCATCTTGTTTCACACTTCCACCAACCTTTGTGGAAGTAAGTGTCATGTTTTCAGTTTTAGATGCACTTCCATGTAGGTTGTCCTCAGGTTGTCAATGAGGTGTCCTCTGATTCATATTTCTGTGTTCCTTCTGAAGATGTCTGCTGGGTTGATTTTTTCACCGCCCTTAAGGATTGTGAATACTTCTTTTGAAAAAGGCCCATTGCAGTCTTCTCTGGTCCTGATTAGTAAGGTTTGACTTCAGCCTCTTAGTCTAGGACGTTCCTTCTAGCCCAGGAATGTGTCGGGTCACTCTTATTTTGACTGATGAGCAAAAGTGTCTTTATTGCATGTAGATTATCAAAATTGTACTTTTGACTCGTGCCGTACAATTTTAATATAATGTTCTTTGAGTGTGGAATTTAAATTCTACATTTTGACTGTATTGCTAATATAGCCTTTTTTTTCTTTCAAACATCAATTGGAATCTGAATATGATGTCAGTTAAAACATCTACATCTTTCTCATCTATAGTATATTCAAGATCGCACCAGTGGTGTTTGTATGTGTAGTTTGCTTTCGAAACCTGAATACAGCAACAGGCATTTCTTTACATTTAATACCACCTACTAGGTGTTTGCCAAGTTCTGAATTTGGTCTAAGTACTGGATTTTCCTTCGCATCTTCTACAGTGTTGGGTTATCCTTCTATCTTAGTAATATCTTTGGATGAGACTAATTTCCTAGCTATTTCAGGAATATATTTTATACAGTACTTCAAAAGCAACTCGTCTCCATGTAAAAAACATTCATATGTGTAATTTCTTACCTGTATGAAGCACCCTTCTTCCCAAAGGATTACAAAGTATAGTACAGGGGTAGAACCACTTCATTCTCCAATGAACTGCATCACCAACCAGCTGCAGGAGCAGCATGAGGGTGTGTGTTGTCCAGCTGGAATGTTGTGACAGGAGAATTAAGTCACAGGAAGGGCAGCAAGTATGGTCCCAGAACTTGATCAGTAATCAGGTTGCTGTAAGTGACATTCCTGGCCAGACCATCAAATTTGGACTTCCCAGGATCAGCCATTGATCTTGGCTGGAAATGTCTGGCAGCGAGTAAATGGCAAGCAACAGTGTGCTGACTTACAGTAGTTCAGACTCCAATGTACATATGGAATAACACTGGTGTTCTCTTGATTAGCAAGATATACTGTATTGTTTCTTTGCTGTGTTTTTCTTAATTTTCACCAGACTTCACGTGGAACAAAATCACCTCATCACATGTTCTTGATCAGCTCTTTCTGTAATGGTGTAATTTAGTACTTAAAGTCACTGAAGTAAATCGTAGTAAGTTTTGAATTGTTAGTTAAAATGACATCAAAAACGATATCTGACATTTATATATTTTGTACTTTTTATAAAAACATATATGCACGAGTAGCTTCTTTTAAGACTTTTAAGACAAAATGTACAAAAACTGGAGAAATGTCTGTTTTATTTAATAACCATAGCCAGTAACTAAAAACATGAGGCCCAAAGAGCCTTGTATTATTTTCTTTAGTTGGAGTATATACTTCACAAAGCACTCTGCAGAGCACTGCGTGCATTGTAAAGCTGACAATATTTTCTCTGAACCTGACTGACTAGTATGTATGGTGACATTATAGCCTAGGGCCAAGGTGTTGGTCGTGTTGAGCTTTTAGAAGTTCCTGTGTTCACATTCCAAATCTTATGTTACAGTATACAGGGTGATATACTGTATAGAGCTTTTAAATCACTTCTGTGTACCTTATCTGAAGAGGAGACCATAGTCATTGAATAATATTGTAATTGTATTCCACTCTTGCAAGTGGCACCCTTACTGCGTTGTCATCTTTGAAATATTGGCATATCTACTGTAGTATGGTTAATTGGTTGGTTGTTAATTTATTCCCTTGTTTACGCTTTTATTGTGACATAGTTTGTGGATAATTGTATTTAGCACTTGCAACTCATTCGGAATCGAGGAGGCATTTATACTTTAATGGTGAAATGCATAAATCCTGATCACATGAATGAACCAACCCGTTCAATGCAATTTATAAAAGTAATATATAAGTATCCATTTTTTTAATTTTATGTTTAATTAAGGATCAAATCCTAGATGTTTTACAGAATGTATCTAGAACTTAATTATCATACTTTTTATTGATCAGTGACTGAAAAGAAAAAAGTAATAATGATCATATTATGAAATACTGTAGCATAATATTTTCTTCATATGATATCTTCGATTCCCATGAATGTCTGCGTGAAATTGCTCTACAAGAGATGATGCTTATGGAGAAATGCATTTCACACCAACTTTTAACACAAAGTAAAACGCTTTTTGCAAAAGATTTTGAGATTCAAATGCACAAATGTTTAAGCAATTTTTATAAAGTACAGAAGACTATAAATATAACATTTCTTAAAGGACTCTTGTTTTAAACCACAATCAGCTTTGTTTTGAGATTTTATTTTTTGAAGGGAATTATATTGTTTTTTCATTATTAATAGAAGTCTTTATTTCACTATTGATCTCCTCAGATTTTGTTTTGGTTCTGAAAATGCAATCATCCTGTTGACCTGTGTTCTTTTCTCAGATAATGTCTTCTCTATCAAATCATGGGCCAAACGGAAGTTTGGTTTTGAGGACAAATCCCTTGATAAAAACTTTGGAATCCCAGAAGACTTTGACTACATCGAATGATATTCATCTTCCTTTCCTGTTGTCCTTCTTCCAACATACTAAATATTTTTTCTTGTATATATTTGTTTATTTAAAATGAAGGTTTAATAGTGTTTTTGTCCTTCAGATGGAAATATATATTTTATAAAGTAGAGATCTGTTTGCTTTTTTCTGTGTGACAATATGATTTTACCTTTCATGTGATATCTCAAGGCGCTTTAGGATTTTGACAGGAAACATTTGAAGCACATGAAAACACAATAGAACAAAATCAAAAGCTAGTGTGAAAAAGGGTTTTAAGGCAGGATTAAAAGTGGTGACTGACTTGGCAAGATCGAACATGGGCTAAAAGATCATTCCACAGTTCTAGTGCAACAGAAAAAGTACAGTCTTCCAAGGTCTGTAGTTTAGTTTTGGAAACTGAAAGAAGGCCAGAGTTCAAAGACCTCAACTAACTTTTAGGTGTTAAGGAGGACACTGGTATAGTTGGGAAATATAGTAAACCATTTTTCCTCTTGAATTCTGTCCTGAATGTCACAAGATGTTATTTTAGTTTTAGTTAAGATCCAAGCAGCTGTGGTTGGAACATATGGCAGGTTTTACGTATTTGGATACAAGCAAGTACTGCATTATAATCAAGCCTGGAGAACACAAAAGCACGCATCAACTTTGTGTCAGATTGCAGGAATGTAAACGAGCAGGGTTCTGAACGTGGAAAAAGACACCTATTGTATACTGCATGCACGAATTCGATAAAAATGACACAATGCATGTTCATCTCTGGAACTGGCTCACTCATCTTTAATGAAGAGTTAAGGTAAGATATGGTAGGAGCAGCAGAATGAATATTGTCTGCTTATTTAGTTGAAAAGTCTTCCACACCTGTTGGACGGTTTTTGACCATGCATGATAATGACCCAAAACCCACAGACAGTACAAACATTTTATGCTGTCCAATCTCAGGATTTAAATCCAGTTAAGCAAATATTTTACATGCTTAAAAACATCCCAAGACAAGAATTCTTAGTGGCTGCAGCAAAGTATCTTAATTTGGCTGTAAACTACTCTTTACTTGTACATTCTAAAATCTTCTTAATGTGTTTCAATACTTTCATTTTTTTAGAAATCAATGGGTAGAACACAAAGTATGTTTGTGTTCTATTATCAGATGTATGTGTGAAACTATCCAAAAACATTATTTTGTACTAATTCATATTAATCTCATGATCACAGATATAAATTGCTTGTCAAGTAAAACATGGTTTTGACATTGCTGGACTGATAAATTTGTTGGCTACAACATTTATAGATATTTTAAAAAATAGCAAGTAGGTGGAATTCCAAAATATTTGGAATTGGACCTGGTCTTATGCTAACTTTTGGCTCTCAAAGGGTTCTGTGTACAGGCTGACCTAGCTGCATGTTGGGTTTTGAGACACCTGTTCACAGGAAACTGAGAGCCCGCTGGTGGTAATAGAGATTTTCAAACAGGTGGTATAGCTGTTGATGTCAGGGACTCACACTTGAGGATGATTCCTTTCTCCTGGCCTTAACTAGTCTTTGTACTGATACGAAGTGTATCTGCTTTCTGAGAGAGCACCAGCAGAATGTGTTTAAATTAGCCAGGAAAGCTCACTAAAGCTTCGAAGCTCACAATTAAGGATTTAATTTAGAAAAGAGTCCTTTTCCTTTAGGATTCATCTTCTGTTAAGTGATACACATTCAGAGATTAAATGATTTCAGCTTGATTGTTATAAGTGAAGCCAGATGATCGATTGCTTAACTTGCAAATAACTTCTTAGATGTCAGGGCTTGCATTTTGTAACTGATTTAATATAATTTACCCCTATAGTGTTATTGTTCCCATTCATACCCTAAAAATGGCCATCATAATGTATAAGTAGAACAGGTATAATCAGGGGCAGAACATTAGTTGAAGCATTCCTCTTCTACTACACAAAATTTCTTTAACCATTTTCATGAATGTTCTGTAGGTTCAGTTTTTCTTTCATTTTAACCAATGATGATAAACAGCAGCACACATGGATTTCTTTAAAACAGATTAGGAAAATGTACAAGGTGAGATTGTCTTCCGAGGCACAGAAATTGTCTCATAATCTCAGTTTTTAAATTTAAGATTTTTCATGTTTTTTTGTGAAGGAATTCTGAGAAAGGTCTTAGCAAGTGTAAAATAACATGATTTTCCAAGTCTGGTTCTTTTAAAACTAACTAGACTAAAAAGATCCCGATTTCTGTTTACTTTAAGATGTTGTGCAATACTTTTGAGACTTATCTTAAGTGAATTCATATGCCTTGAGTTGCAAATTAGTTGGAGAAAAGCCAGCCTGTGCTAAATGTATTGCCTTCAATTTCTCCTGGCACTTGAAAGCATAACATGGATTTTAGGAATACAAAGACAGAGAAAAGAATAAAGCCAACATCCAGATATGGTGTTTTCAAATGCTTCAAAACATCTTGACAGCCCTCTGTTGAATGTGAGCCAACTGATTATTGCCACGGCTTTAGACCAAAAACAAGAAGACTTGCAATATAATACTAAGAATTGAACTAAGCTGCACATCTGGTAAAAGGTTTTAGTGAAGACAGGTGAAGGGGCAGTACTAAAGTCCAGAGATCAATTGAATTGAATTTGATCAGTTTGGATTCAGGCCATGCCATTTGTCTTCTCTGGACAGAGGTTGCAAGCACAGCTGGGAATGGGTGGAGTGGCAGCTGGGCAGTTGGATCATGAGCTGGTAACTTGTCATTGTTGGATTGCCTACTGTATATGATTCTAGTATATGGCTGGGAGATGTCAAATGTAGCTGTGTCTATGCTGCAGGTAATGTGAAACCTGTGTTTGGAGGCCTTGTGTGTGTTTCTTATTCTAAAAAGTAGAACAAATTGCCCAGTTTGACTGAGGGGGTGCCTCAATGTTTTATAAAGAGGCATGCAGTTACATTTGGTGATGTACAAAAAGGACAGTTGGTAGTACCTGAATGAATTTAAAAAACTATATCAATAAAGATATGAATAAAGACTGGCACCACTGCTCATATAGACATGGTTGCTGGAAAACAAACAGAAGACTCAAGGTTTATTCACTTTGTTTGAGCTCAAATTCCTTTTTTTGATCAGACATGAAGAGATTAGTATTCTTTTGCTGTATTAGAAAGGTTAAGTCAGTTTAAACATAAACTGGGTCTCTCAGAACATCGAGGGCTAAATGGAAAATATCCAAAGTCCTAAATATCACTGTTAAGGCCCATCATCTTGATTTATATGCTGGAATCAATACAACAGACTGGCAAAGGTTCTGTTTATGTGTAAAGTCAGTGCAATGCTTCTTCTCTTTTGTATAGCACCCTTAACACTACAGCCAAAAATTCCAAAGTGCTTACACAATTTGTCAACCCAGCAATGCCACCATATGTGTGAGCAAGAAACCTGTTTGAACAGCTAGCTTTCACTTTTCATCTATCCTGCTAATTCCCACAATGAGAATAAACCAGTCATTTACTATGAAGTACTGGGTACATTATTAATTAGTAAAATAGTGGCATTTAAGTTACACCTAATATACTAAATTTAATGTAACGTAACTGTTGTTCTATCATGTGAATATAATGTAGACACAACACCATTTCCAACTGCCTACTGCTTTCTTAAGAGATGATGGTCACCCTGTAACTCACAACTGGCAACTCACTGAAGCTTAGCAGGTGTGAGCCTGGTCAGTACCTGGATGGGAGGAAAGCTAAGGTTACTGCTGAAAGCGGTATTAGAGGGTCACCCTGCAGTCTGTGTGTCCTAATGCCCCACCATAGTGATGGGGACATTATCCTGTCAAAAGGTTCCGTCTTTTGGATGAGACGTAAAACCAAGGTCATGACTCGCTGTGGTCATTAAAAACCCCAGGGTGTTTCTTAAAAAGAGTAAGGCCAATCATGGCCTCCTAATAATCCCCATCTCTGAATTGGCTTCGTCACTCTATTCTCCTCCCCACTGATAGGTGGTGTGTGGGGAGCGTAGTGGTGCACTATGGCTGGTGTCACATCATCCAGGTATGGCTTCACATTGGTGTAGGAAGTGAGTCTCCGTTACCTGTAAAGGCATTTGAGTGGAGTGTCCAGAAAAGCACTATATAAGTGTTAGTTTAATAATTATTAAATTAAATATTTTTTTCCAGAACTCCTAAAAATACCAGGGTGAACCCTGTGGTTTGGAGGTTACCCATTCAATCCAGGATGCCCCTAGGTGACCATGGTCAAGTTTCTAGAGGGAACCACCAGGGCAGCTGGATTACAGACAATTGGGAGATCCTCAGTGGGCTTAACATCATTACTTACATTGGAGTGGAGTACCTTCTAAATTACGGATTTGTAGAGGAGTTTGACTGTCCTAAACCTGAAATGACTGTCTATGATTTACAAATATGGCCCTGTGTTTCGGTCACTAAGGACAGGGGCTCATCCTTTTAAATTTTATAGCCCAAAACGTAGCCCAGTTATATCTGATAGGTATATTTTACCATTAGAACAAGTAATAGGTTTATTCCATGCTGAAAAAAAGAAGAAAGAGAACACAACGTTTCGGCCGTGGAGCCTTCTTCAGGTGTGATATTTTACCATTAGTTTAGGAACATGCATGATAATATAGCAAGGCATAACATCTCATTACTGTATATACTCAGAACATGATTTCATTGTTTTTTTCTACGCTTAGCCATGGACAACTGTACAAACAGCTCACTTGGTTCAAATATTATGGTCAAATAATCAGGAAGACCAACAACCGCGTGTTTAAGTATTCATGTATTATGCACAACAACTTCACTCTATGCTTGCAACACAAGAACAGTATATACAGTGGTATACAGTTATGTTTATATAGTATGTAGCTTCTTGTTGCTTTATTTATAATGGTATGATTATAATACAATAAAAAACAATGCAATGATGTGATTTTTAAATAAAATCACAAAAAACCTTTGTGATGGCACCTATATACTATAAAAGGAAGTACTGTGTTATGTGGATTACAGAAAAACAACTCTTTAAAAGAAAACTTTTGTGTTATTTGTTAGTTATGAATCTGTAAATTACCTATGCTTACTGGTATTATGCAAACATTATTCATTAGAAATCTTGTTTT